GCCCTCACAACGTCCTTGTGCCCAAGGCCATTGTTGCCATCAGGGTTTAACCCATCTCCTCGGGGAACTTCTCCTTTGTCACTGCCCTTCCACTCTACCAAGCCCGATGTCCTTCTCCGGGGACCAGTCTGTCCTGACGATATTCCCAAAGTACGGAAGATGAAGAATTGCCAGCCTTGCCTCTAAGGAGCACTCTGGATGGGCTTCTCAGACACTTTTTTAATAGTCCATAATACTTGTACTATTCATCACCAGCCCCCCATTCTAATAAAATACAGCGGCGACAACAAAGGGCTCAAGTGTAGGGACAATTGTGAGGATGGCACAATGGTTTGGGGGTGTCAATGGCAGATGGAGATGCGGTGTAGACTCTTAGGCAGGCCCCTAGTGGTGAATCACATCGAAGACTCTTCGGGGTTGGGAGTAAAGCTCTACCTTTCTCTACATACAACTACTCCTCTTTGGGAAAACGGTGTTTGGCCTATAACTGGGTTTTAGTGGAGACAAAACACCTCATCGTGGGCCACCAAGTCACCATGCAGGCAGCATGCTCTGCCCATCGTCAACTGGATGGCCCCGATGTTGGACACACACAAGAGCAGTCCACCAGTACATGGAGGCGGTATCTAGGAGCTGCGACTGAGGCAGCACCTGAAGACACAGGAAGCTATGTGAGGAAGTGGCTGAAACACATAGGGTGGTCCCTTCCGTTCCCGCACAGTCTTTCTCCCCGTGCCTGCGTCTATGGCCCCATGGGGAGTCATTCGTGATCAGCGGACTGAGGAAGAGCACACTTGTACTTGGCTTACTGAGACTTCCGCATGATCTGCAGGTACCCCTCCCACGTGGACACCGGCCACACGCAGCTCCTCTCTAGGAACTCTCAAAAACACAGTGGTGACGGGAAATCCTCCCAACGGACAGAACATCAAGTACACCTCGTCATTCAGCTTATTTGGAAGAAACAAAGGTCCATATGTGCAACTGATTACGAATTCATTTGCTGTGCCCAATAGCTTGGCTGGATGGTCAAGGAGTTGGGAGGGACATGATTAGAAACTTGGTGAAAAGTAGGTGTGGGGGGACGGATGTGGATACACCACTCTGAATGGTTCAAAAAAAGTGAAAATATTTGTGTCTCGTGTGAATGCTCACCAGAGGGTCACATCTGCAGTGCAGGATTTTAACAGTCAAGTGGATAAGCAGACATATTCTGTGGAAACCAGTTATCCTCTTTCCCAAGCCACTCCTGTCACCACTCAGTGGGTGAACGCACAAAATGGCCATGACAGGACGGATGGAACGTTATGAGTGGACTCAGCGACATGGATTTCCTATCCCAAGACAGACGTGGCTACTGTCACTTCTGAATGACAATCTGCCGAAAGCGGAGACCCACACTGCGTAAAACATATAGAAACATGCCTTGGGGACATGTACCACCTACCTGGTGGCAAGTTGACTGCAAAGGATCACTTCCATCAGGGAAAGGGCAGCGTTTCATTCTCCCTGGAGTAGAGACTTATTGGGAATACATGTTTTTCTTCTCCGCACACAGTACTTCTGCCTAAATTACTTTTTGTGGACTTACAGAATGTTTTAGCCACTGGTATGTATCTCATACAGCCTCGCCTGAGATCAAGGGACTTGCTTCACTGCTAATGAATTAAGGCAATGGGCCCATGGTCATAGAATCCACTAGTCTTACCATGTCCCCCACCATCCTAAACTCAGCTGGATTGATAGAAAAATGGAACAAACTTATAAAGATTCCGTTATGGTCCCATTAAAAGTCTGGGACAATAGTCTCTAGGAGGTTGTATGAGCTGTAAACCAACTTCCGTTATATGGTGACGTTTCTCCAATACCCAGATTCTTGGGCTCGGAACTGAGGAGTGGAAAGGGGAGAGGCACCACTCGCTCCGAATAATATACTGACAACATTTTTGTTTCCTTTCTCGGCAATCCTATGCTCTTCAGAGCTGTGGGTCTTGGTTCCAAATGGAGGGATGCTGCTGTCTGGAGCCACAGCACTGATTCCATCAAAGTTAAGAATGCCCCCTGGTCATTTTGGACCTCCCATGCCTGTGCATCCACAGGCAAAGAGGGTGTTCCTGCACTGAGTGGTGTGATGGATCCTGCTTTGCCTGACTGGTAGTCATAGAGCACTGGCTACATTAGTTCCTCAAAATGGATAATATGATGGTTAACATTATAAAAAAATTGCCATAATTGTCTGAGGACTTTTGTTTGTTTACTTAAAGATCACTTCCCCACAGAAAATCTAAGCCCCAATTGCTGAGAAAGCTTAAAACCGAGTTTCCTTAAGTTTTTTTTTTAAAAAAATAGCAAGTACTTTTTACAACAGAAAAACTTGGTTAGATGAGTATAAGTGAATCCAAACCAGGCATTGTAATTTGGGGGGGATTCACTTTAGAAGGAATTAATAAGAATATGTTTGGCTAATACGTTTTGATGTGTGCTGAACAACACAGAACCACTGGAGATACGTAGCTAGCTCTCGGGACAGATGTTGTAGTCTAGAATGTCATTTTCTTTTTCTACCGGCTTATAGAAAGAAGGGAGTTGAACTTAGCTTGCGTGCTCCCTGTACGGAAATGTGACTGCCTGTTAGGAACCACCCTTCTAGGCCGGAGTGTTGTACATGAGACCCCTGAGCAACGTGCTTCTGTGGGTCTCTTTCGTCACCAGTTGCATGCTTGTAAGGGAAGAAGCTCTTTAGTAGTACGTACTCTCAGAAGAGTATTCAGAGTCAGGTCCCCAAATACTCCCTACTAGTTTTGTGGAAAATCCCCCCTAACACCGAAGATGTGAATAATGAAAAGCATGCGGGATGAAAAGTCAGGATGTTGTTAACTGTTGTTGCTAGGTGACGCCAAGTCAGTTGCAATTCACAGGGACCCTGTGCACAACAGAATGAAACACTGCCTGGTCCTGAGCCAGCCTCACCATTGCTCTCAGGGAGGAGCCCCTTGTTACAGCCCTTGGGTCAACAGCCATGAGTCAGAAGCAGCTCGATGGCAGTGAGTTCAAGTTGCCATATGGTCATCTATTTTTCTGGGAGTCTTTTCATCCTCAAATTACTGATTTTCAACTGCTGTTTGTACACTCCGGGGAGGTCTTTGATCTTTTACTTATATGTGCTCAAATTGTTGTGCATTGCCTTTTTAGGCCTCCTGATAGTTGGAAGTGCTTCAATTTAATATAATTAAAATATCAACCATTTCTTTGGTAAGGATTTATGTTTAAAATATCTTACACAACAAATTCTTTCCTGGTCATAAGTCATAAATGTCTTTTTTCCTGTCTTTCTGTGTAAAATTATAGTTCTACATTTCAAGCTTCAGTCCTTAATATACATATAGGTCCTATCTGCATATAGAATAAAGTTGGGAGCAAATTAGAATTTTCTCAAAAGCTTTTGCTTAATTTTTGGATATGCTTTAAAGTACGCTATTCTTTCATTAGTATAATTTTTTCTTGTACCATCTATCTTATTAACTATAGTTTTATATTATTTCTTATTACTGAATGGATAAAATTCCAATCTTTGCCTTTTCTTCAGGAGAGTCTATGTATCCTTTCCTTTTGTGTAGATTGCTAGAATCGACTTCCATTCAGTTCCATTAGAAACAAACAAACATAGGTTTGTTGGAAACTACCTGAAATACATTAAATCTGTATATTAACTTGGAAAACCATTAGATGATTTTGATATTATACGTAATCTTATCCTTTTATGATCAGGGAGCAAGGTCCACAGTAGCATAAAAGATTTATTCTAAGGTTTTTGGATAAAGTACTTCCAACTATTTCTTCATATTGATAGAGTTTTTCATATGGCCTAAAATATATTCATACAGTGAAGTGTTCTCTTAGATACATCTCCTTTCTTACATTTTGATGGCATGCTTTCTTGTCCATGAACATTGCCTACAATGTATACCTTTACATTTATCCTTTCTTCGCTTTTAAGATTATTTAACAATTTACTGCATCAGAAAATTGGTTCATTCACAATTGTTTCTGTTGCATATGGCATGTTTTGATTTAATTTCCTCTTGTTTGTTTGTTGCTGGTTTATAGAAATGAATTTGATATTTGAATATTAATCTTGTATTCTACACCTTACTAAGCAGTCTTATTAAGCCTAATAATTATATGTAGATTATCTGAGGCTTCCCTACAGACATTATAGCATTTGGAAATAATGTTGTTTTGCTTTTTCATGTATCTCTCTTATAACCTTTCTTTCTTTCGTCTTTTTTTCTTTTGTACTGTATCGGCTAGGGCTTCAACACAGCATTTTAAAGGATGGCCTTGGTCTCTTTTTGCTGTTATTGTTGTTAAGTACAGCAAAGCGAGGTGCCACAAATAGAAAAGGGCAGCATGTGGAATAGTTTACAGATTCTGCAACAGCAACGAGGGAGACTGCAGGCGAGAACACTCCAGCCCGCTTTAGGCGCTGCTCTCTGAGCAGATCAGATGGGAGAGGCAGCCCCGGGAACGCAGCGGAGTCTGCACATGTAACCAATTTCTTGTTGTGCCTGCAGTAAAGTTCACATTCTGATTGCTCCTCCAGATTATGTAGATCCAGACATATTTTACGCAGTCATCCGGATCTTCCTCTCTGGGTAAGTACAGTTCATCTGTTGTTTTCCAGCACGGGGCCTCTGGTAGCCTTTTCCACATTTATGAGAAAAGGAACAGACTGAAGCTTCCTTGAGTCAGAAACACACCAAGAGACCCTGGCTAGCAGAGTCCCCACCCGCATCCACTTGGGGATGAAAGACGTGCGATAGCATCTGCATGACAAATGACACCGAGCTAGATATTTTCATTCAAAGCCATTGTCCTTAGGCCACCATATTCGATCTATTTGTGTTCACTTTCCTAGAACCTCAACTGATGACTGAAAAAAAGAAGAAGAAGAAGAAGAAGAAGCCCAAGATGCCACCCACTTAGTCACTATATTGCTTCTAGCCATTCTTGCCCCTTCAGGTGTAGGCAGTTAAAGTTGGAAGAGTAGACAACAGCATGGTGGTATGACCTAGCACTCCTGGAAGAGCTACCCCAAACCAGTTTTCCATATTCCACGATAGTCTTCTTTTATCCCGCGTCCTGAATGTACCCAGAGAGAAGACATTGCTTTTAGATATATTCCTTCTTTTGGATACACTAGCCACTCATGCTTACTAAAATAGAGAGACAGCAGCAAAGAGGAAGGCCTTCAACATGACGGACTGCCACAGTGGCTGCATCCGTGGGCTCAACCCAAAGAACAACTGTGAGCAGCGTGCAGGGCTGGGCGATGTTTCGTCCCATCGTACAGATGATCCCTCTGGATCAGGACTGACTCGATGGCACCTAGAAACAGTAGCAGCCATTGTCTACTTGGCATATTTTATAAGACTACTTCCCTAGTCATTAACTAAGAGAAAGAAATTGTTTTTAAGTGGTGAAAATGAAATAAGGAAGTAGCGAATGTGGTAGGTGAAAATGAGAAATACATTGCATCTGGTGTTCCATTTTGATAATTAAGAGATGCCTGAGGTCATATCAATAGGAAGATTCTAGAGCTGTTCTGGGCATGCCAAGTGCCAGAATCTATCAATAGTATATTCAATTGGGGCAAGAAGGAAGTGGAAATACATACTAAATATTTCCTCGGGCTGGGTGGGTTTGGAATGGGTAAAACTCTAAGGGGGCATCAACCTGAGTGCGAATCTTCATTGTCGGGAGGAAGTAGCTAGAGAGTTTCTTGGGAGGAGTGGGCGCCTTGGTGGATGGGATAAAGTGAGGAAAATGTAAGCCCTGAGTTGGGGGTGTGCCTCAAAATTTAGGCTTTCCATTTACACAAATACTCCTCCAGTGCAGAGCCTGCTCCCAAAGATAGTATGTAGTTGTCTCCGTTATCTGTGCTGCTCTGACACACATACCATAAGTGGGTAGCTCTATCAAACAGCATGTTATTTTCTCAACATTTAGACTAGATGTTGGAATTCTTTTTTTTTTTTTTAATATTTTATTAGGGGCTCATACAACTGTTATCGCAATCCATACACACATCAATTGTGTAAAGCACATTTGTACATCGTTTCTCAAAACATTTTCTCTCCACTTAAACCCCCAACATTAGGTCCTCATTTTTCCCCTCCCTCCCCACTCCCCCCTCCCTCATGAGCCCTTGATAGTTCATAAATTGGTATTTTGTCATATCTTTCCCTGCCTGACGTCTCCCTTCACCCACTTTTCGGTTGTCTGTCCCCCAGGGAAGAGGTCACACACAGTTCCTTGTAATCGGTTCCCTCTTTCCTACCCATTCTCCCTTTACCCTCCCTGTTTCGCCACTCACACCACTGGTCCTATAGGGCTCATCCATCCTGGATTCCCTGTATTTTCAGTTCCTATCGGTACCAGTGTAATTCGAATTCAGGGAATTCTTAGGAAAAGGTTTTTCTTCCTGTCAGCTCTCAGGAAGGTCCTGTCTCTTTAGCTTCTGAGTCCTGCTGCCTTGAAGATCCATGTCTTGGCTTCTACCTCCCACTCCCTCTGCTTGGATTGCTTGTTTAAGATCATTTGCTATCCCAAAAGAGATTGAAGATACACCTACACGAATCCTGCCTCATTAACATAACAAAGAGAAGCCATTCCCAAGTGAGCTCATAACCACAGGCAAAGAGGTCAGGATGCACAACACATATTTCTAAGGGACATAATTCAATCCATAACAGTATTTAGTTCATAAACCTCTTCCTGTTCTCTGTGGCCTTTGCATGTCAGACACAAGATAAAGATCATCGTTATAGCGTGTCTGGCAACAAATACCAACCAAGATATGCTGCTGTGCTTTGGTAGGAATAGGTAAAAGGAAAGGAAAGGCCACTTTAAAAAGTGCTTGCTATCATGTTGCATGTTTACATTAGCTACTGAAATAGATGTCTTCTTTTTTAATCAATCCTGAGTCTCATACACTGAAAACATAGAAACACATATAACAAAGATTCCAGAAGTCTACACATGATGACAAGACCTCAGAGCTAAACCCCAATATAAATAAAAATAATAGTCAAAATCTACAAAAAAATGGCATCCAGATCAGGTCCAAATTGTATCAGAGGGGAGAGAAAATTACAAGATAGTAACTATTCAAGTCAGGTTTATGATTTTAATCTCTGATTGTTGATACTTGTCTCTCCAATACTCTCTGTCTGGTAAGCAGTTTAATCCCATTCCTCAGTGATGGTCAGAGGAAAGTCACCAGAGGCTGTTCCCTGTGTGGATCCCACAAATGCACTCTGTCTGGGTTTCCACTGTCACCCATAGCTTTCTGCAAACGAGAATTTGAGCGCTGCAAATATGCCCTCCTTCATCTTTGGATCATATAGTTTACAATCCTTTGGTCCTTGATGCTGGTGTACTTCTTCCATGTGGGTTAGTTGACATCTCATTTAGATGGCTGTTTGCTTGAAAACAGGACTTTAAGGCCCCAGATGCTATTTTATCTGATAGCCTAGCACCATCTAATTTCTTCATCACACTTTTCTACAGCACCCATATCTTCTGTGTTTCTTTCATGAAGGTGAGTTTCAAGCAGGGCCATGTTGAAAGAACTAATTGTTCCTACATTGGACCTGGGATCAATGCAATCCCAAAATCCACTCCTCAATCCATGGTGTTTTTATCTGCCTCTGGCTTCCCTTGGAAACATCCAAGGTAACTTATGGTAGAGAATCTTCTTGATCATCTTCCTGGAGAGGATCTCACTTCTGTTAATTGATTAGTCCATGGTACACAGTTTTAAAACACTATTGACAGAGGGAGATTCAACCAGTGTAGGCTAACTACATATCACAATATTTGACTCTATTCACTGGTACAGAATAAATGCTTCTGTGACTGGATGCTATTTCCCCCATCAATGGGAGTTGGTTGCCAGGCAAAACTTATAACAATATTCACCGACAATGTCAATCACAGGTCTGCCAGAATAATACATATCTTAATACAGCAAGTAGGTCATTGAAGTAGTAAGTCAAAGTTGGTCCAATCATCTTGATTATGCTGCCTTCTGCTTCTTCACACACCATGCAATTTCAGCCTTAAATCCTCCAGTTACAGGTGTTTTGAGATACAGTCTCATGGGGGTTCATCCAGCAGGGTTTCCAGCTCGGATCACTCTGGTGTGGCCATTGAGCATGTTGTGTGCCTTGAAGATCCGGGATTCAATGCCCTCGTGTTCCACGGCCCTTGACCTGGGTCCCCAGGGGGTGAAACAGACTGGTATTTAAAAGACACCGAATCCAGTAAAACCTCTTTGTACTTTATTTGGACATTAAAATCTATAGATAGTTTTCTACTGCTGCATAACACATTACTATAAATTTAGCAACTTCAAACAACACATATCTTTTAGCTCACACTTCTGTAGGTCTGAAATCCAGGCAAATTTAGCAGTTTTCTGCTTCAGGCCTCTTCAGGGTGAAATCAAGATGTGTGTTGGGCTAGACCCTTATCTACAGAAGCTAGTGAAGAATCCACTTCCAGATCCGTTCAAGTTGCTGTCATATGTCAGATCCTCGTGCTTCGAGTGGAGGGCTCTGTTTTGCTGAGGGCTGTCCAACAGGAGGCGCTCTGGAGTCTGATTTTCAGTCCTTCCATGTGCTTCCTCCATCACAGCAATTGGGCTTCAAATGTATCTAGTGAATTTCTTCCATGTGTCCTTTTGCCTCTTCACAAAGAAAGCTCTCTGTTGTTAAAAGTCTTGTGATTCCAGATAACCCCCTGTACGCAGCCATACCGCCTAGATATTGTGGGTTCCGTTCCAGATTGGTTACAGCAGTACATTGCGCCATACAGAATTTTGAGTTTCCGTGTGCTTCTAAAAGCTTTGCTTATATCACATTGTCATATATGAAGTGTGCAATAACATTATGAAAAAGTTTGAAACGTGTTGTCAGAATTCCCAAAGTGACACAGAGACCTGAGGTGAGCACATGCCGTTGGCAAAGTGGTGCTGATATATTTGCTCAATCTAGAATTGCCATAAGCTTTGCACTTCTATAAAACCACAGCATCTGCAAAGCTTACTACAAAGGAGCACAATAACATGGGGTATCCCTGTAATTAGATGTCATCACCTGTATAATATAAGATTCATTTCTCTCTTAAAGTCATCTTATTTGTAACCTTAATTGTATATCAGAAATTGTTTTTGCCTAGAACATATTATATTCCTGGATATGACATTTCATTTTACGTGAACATTCTGAGGATTTGAGTTGGGTATCTTAGGTTATGGTAGTGGTTGTCATGGTGAGATAGGTTTAGAATTCTATCCCAAAATATCCTCCAGGAAATAAATAAATTCTATTTCTTTCTTTAGAAATAGGTATCCGATAATGACCCACTACACATCTGAAAATCTCAGAACTAGAAGGAGACCTGGAGGAGCGTTCCAGGTGCCCACCAGAAATTTGGTGGTTCCAAGCCACCCAATGGTTTCAGCCAAACGAAAGACGACCTCATTGCCATTGTGTCAGTCCTGACTCACAGTGACCCTATAGACAGAGAAGACTGCTCTTGTGGGTTTCTGAACTGATCGTAAGAAAGAGGTAAAGATGAGTCCGGTGGC